GGAGCCGCCGCCGCCCCCGCCGCCCAGCTCGTCCAGCGCGCACGCGGGGCCCCTGGCCATGCCCATGACGGTGGGGGTGACGGGCCTGCACCCCATGAACAGCATCGGCAGCCTGGACAGGACTCGCATGATGACGCCCTTCATGGGCATCAGCCCCATCCCGGGCGGAGAGCGGTTCCCGTACCCCTCCTTCCACTGGGACCCCATTCGGGACCCGCTGAGGGACCCCTACCGGGAACTCGACATCCACCGGAGGGACCCGCTGGGCAGGGACTTCCTGCTGAGGAACGACCCCCTCCACCGGCTGTCCGCCCCCCGGCTGTACGAGGCCGACCGCTCCTTCAGGGACCGGGAGCCCCACGACTACAACCACCACCACCACCACCACCACCACCCGCTGGCGGTGGACCCGCGGCGGGAGCACGAGCGCGGGGCGCACCTGGACGAGCGCGAGCGCCTGCACCTGCTCCGAGAGGACTACGAGCACACGCGGCTGCACCCCGTGCACCCCGCCTCGCTCGACGGGCACCTCCCGCACCCCGGCCTCCTCACCCCGGGGCTCCCCAGCATGCACTACCCGCGCATCAGCCCCACGGCGGGCCACCAGAACGGACTCCTCAACAAGACGCCCCCCACCGCCGCGCTCAGCGCGCCGCCGCCGCTCATCTCCACGCTGGGGGGGCGCCCGGTCTCCCCCAGGAGGACTACGCCCCTGTCGGCAGAGATGAGGGAGAGGCCGCCTTCCCACACCCTGAAGGACATCGAAGCTCGGTAAGGAGAGAGGCGCGGAAGAGGCAGAGGCAGCCCGCCCCGAAAACACGCCAGACTTCGGGGAGGGGGGGAGTCGGTGACTCTTGCGTCCCCCACACAGACTGCAGGGCGGAGCCCCCCCCCCACCTCTTCCCTGTAAACAATGTATAGACTCAGTGCAGATTTTGAAATGTTTTTGTATATTATACGTTGACATTTTTCAGATCTTTTAGCCAAGTCCTATGTTCTCATGTGTCCAACTCTTTTGGTTTCTCGTATAAAACTTTTTGATTTGAACCAAAACAGTGAAGGTGACACACACCGATGTGTTCATTGCGGAGGAGACAGAGACAGACAGACAATAATCGTCCGCACCATCCATCGTGCAAAGAGCTCTTTCAGACGAGAAGGGAAGGCCGTGTACATAGTTGTGTAAAAAAAAAAAAAAAAAAGATTGCTTCATGAGCTAAGGGTTCATATATGCAAAAGGGTAAGATGAAAGCTTTACTTTGTACAAATGTAAATAGTAAAGATTAAGTAACATAATACATTAATACTTCTTAAAATGTGCTCTTTGCAAACTTAATCTCAGCGAGCACGGCCGGCTGCGGCTGTGTTCCCGTGTATTGTTAGAGACAGCTAAACCCTTCAACTATGCAATGAATGTCCGGGCTTTCCACAGAAGCCCGCCCAACTCAAAGGAGCCTTTTCAGATCCATTTACAACATAATTAAGGTCATATTTTCCCTGAACAAGCGCTTACGTGATAGGACTCTGTTTTCCTTGCTTGTTTTTTCAAACGGAGAAACATCCTATTTTGCAAATTGGACCCCAGGCCGAAACTTTGCCTCTGAAGTTGCTGCTTGTGGGCTCCCTGGGCAGAGTGCGGTCCCCAAAGGTCAGAGGACATGAGCAGCCAGGGCCAGGGTGGACGGGAGTGGTCAGATACCAAAATCAGGGGACACAAACAGGTCGCCAGCATCTTGTCACCGTCAGTCACATGACTTCGCACGCACCTCATGTGGGAACCATGCGTTTTTCCAGCGTGTCCCATTTCATACTCGCTCACACTTCCTCGTTTTGTAATGAGGTTCAATCACACCCAAACAGATCCTGAAAGAAAGCTTTGCGTTTTCTCAGATGATGGATATGTTTTCACTGTATTCGATAACCGACAGATGGAAGGGGCACATTTCCTAATGTGGCTCCCTGTGTCCAGTCGGTGATAGAGTCTGGGAGTAGCCCAACAGGTCAGCCTTGTGGAGCCATGGAGAGAGAGGTACCGAGGGTGGGAGGTGGCAGAGACAAAGTCTTGTGTGTGCGTGTGTTTTTAAGTTTGCATCAATCGTAACGTCTCTTCATAATACTTTTATAATACATTAAGCCTCTTGTCTACATATTTGGAGAGAATATGACTTTACTAGCAGAGAAATACAATATATCTTGTCTACTGGACTGTAAAATATATGTATGAAATAAAATTAGTTCCATTTGGTCTTCTAGTATATTAAAGTGCTATCTGACGTTGTTACCCTGTTTTTGGAGAAAAAAAAAGTTAACTACAGACCATTGTTTCTAATAAGCAGAGAGATCTATTTTAGTAGTAAACTGAAGGTTTAGTTGTGAGCTTCAGAATTTTGTGAACTCCAGATGTTGTGCAGTGGTTTTACTTTCTTTTCTTTTTTTTAAGACAACAACTAAAAAGGAAAAAAAATCCAAGGAATATGTACACTGGAACTGTAGTGGTAGCTCTCAGTATTGTAAAGAGATTGTTCTATACAGACCTTTTGCTGTTTCTCCTGTATGTAATAAAGTCCTTTCTAGACCCCATGTGAACAGAAAAGTGAAGCGACTGACTCTTCAGCATGTTCTCAGCGGCGGAGCCTTCTTGTGTAATGTAAACTGTGCCATGTTATTAAAAAATGTGAACGAAGCTTTCAGCTGCCTGTCTGTGTGAGCTGCCCATCGCTACCTTAGGGGAGGAGCCGTACTTGCAGGACCTGGCTCTGAACACACCTGGGGCCCAGCTGAGCGAGCGGAAGGCTGACCCACGACACTGTCCGTCCCGCCTAGCGACCTGCAGTTAGTTTCTGTAGACATTCGGTCCCCAGACAAACAGTTGTAGACTGATTATTTGGGGGGGCTTTTTTGTTTTTAAAAGACTTTTTTATTTTTAAATATGTTTTTAATTTCAGAGAGAGGAAGGGAGAGGTAGGGAGAGAAACATCAATGATGAGAGTCATTGATCGGCTGCCTCCCGCACACCCCCTGCTAGGGATCGAGCCCGCAACCCAGGCATGTGCCCTGACCAGAAATCGAACCTCGATCTCCTGGATCATAGGTTGATGCTCAACCGCTGAGCCACACAGGCTGGACTGTTTTTGTGGGGGATTTTATGTTCTAAGCAATTACTGTATGTCCTGAGAAGGTACTTTTGTGTTTTTGTTTTTTTAATTGCTCAAAATATTACAGATATCTTTTTTCCCCATTGACTCCTTCTACCCTATACCCACTCCCTGCCCTAGGCCTTCACCACACTATTTTCTGTGACCATGGATTATGCATATAAATTCCTTGATTAATCTCTCCCCACCTTCCCTCTGAGATTCCTCAATCTGTTCCATGCTTCTGTGTCACTGAATCTATTTTGTTCATCAGTTTATTATGTTCATTAGATTCCACATATAAGTGAGATCGTGTGGTATTTGTCTTTCTCTCCCTGACTTATTTCACTTAGCATAATTTTCTCCAGGTCCATCCATACTGTCCCAAAGGGTAAGAGATCCTTCTTTATAGCTGCGTAGTATTCCATGGTATAAATGTCCCACAGCTTTTTATCCACTCATCTACTGATGGGCACTTGGGCTGTTTCCAGATCTTAGCTATTGTAAATTGTGCTGCTACAAACATAGGGGTGCATGTATTCATTCTGATTAGGGTTTCAGGGTTCTTAGAATATATTCCTAGAAGTGGGATCACTGGGTGGAAAGGCAGCTCCATTTTTAATTTTTTGAGGAAGCTCCATACTGTTCCACAGTGGCTGCTCCAGTCTGCATTCCCCCACCGGTGTACCAGGGTGTCCCTTTCTCCACACCCTCACCAGCACATGTCATTTGTTGATGGTAGAAAAGGTACTTTTGCATTTGTAGACAATGTCCGTGTGGGCCAGGTCAGCAAGTGCCCTTTGAGTCTCAGGCCTGCCTCCAACTTCAGCATTTGCTTTCTCTGCATTGGTGAGAAATCTGATTTCCAGCCTTTGACCACAGTCTTTGCTGGCCTGTTCCTTTGCATTTCACTCTGTGGACTCAGTTATTTAACGCCTTCCAGATCTCTTTTTGCCCAATGACATGGCACATCCCTCATCAGTTTTCAGACTTCTGCCTCATCCGTGTAAATAGCTTTANCCTGTGTCTACTTTTTGCCCAATGACATGGCACATCCCTCATCAGTTTTCAGACTTCTGCCTCATCCGTGTAAATAGCTTTATTTTTTTAAGTTGTAAAAAATGTTCAGTTTGACTGTGCCAGCCCAATGAGACTTCTGTTTGGATTGGCATCTGTATCTTACCGGAGAAAACAAGGAGAGCAGCCCAGGTTGCCAGGATGTGGGTGGCTGCTGAGTGGGCGTTAGAAGTGGAAACAAATAGAAACCGGGAGCTCTGGACGTGAGGGCAGGGTGCCCTGGGCGCCCGCGGCTCCACGGGGCTGTGGGAAGTGGGGGAGGCTCCTGGGTCGGGGACCCAGCCTCGCAGGCTTGGGAAGCTGGCGGTGGTGGAGCAGGGACTGCTTGAATAAAACCTGCTTCACTTACCTAGCTTTTATGTTAATGGCTGACTCCTAGACCAGACGAAATAACATGAAGAAAAACCAGTGGATCGGGAAACCCGATAAACAGTGTTTTTCCCAAATCAGGCAATTCTGGGCCTTCCGGCGCTCACCGTGACTGCCGACTTGCAGCTCTGGCAGCCCTCGCTGCCTTCTGTCGCTCACCTATTTTCCTGTCGCCATCTGCGATGTCAGGACGTGGAGAAGTCAACTCTCAGAATCAGTCACGGTATTTAATCCCGGGGGCTTGATTTGTCTCATCCTTTGCATATTTCCCCTCTAATTATGTTCGCTCCTCGGCGTAGATGCGTAGCAGCACCAATCTGATTTCCTGCTAACCTATAGATGCTCTAATTATCTCCACAATCTTTGACTGACAATGATCTTGTTACCTTCTAATGGTACATGACAAGTAAAATAGCGAACATAATGATGCAATAATTACCATTTTGGAAGGATATTCGCAACAGCATTCGCTGTTTATCGTTTTTCTGCCTCAATCAAGGTGGATGAAAGGAAATAAGCTGTGGCTGTCGATGTTATACATACGTATGTAGCACAAAAAGAAACTGAAGACAGAACTGTGCCACGGAATTAGCCACGCAGCGTGGCCCCTCCGGACCCCCTGTGTGTCCATCCTGAAAAATTAAGCCTCGGTGGCTTTCAACCAGCCCAAGGAAAGAGGGCAACAGAAGCAACTTGTGCTTTTTCACGTTATTTTTTAAAACTTTTCCATCATTTTTTCCCCCAGTGAATTTCTGAGTAGTTTCCTAGATGTAGAAGTGTCCTTTCCATAGAATGGGGGTGTTTATCAAATAGAAAATTATATCATCAAAGACGGCTCTGCACTGTGAAACGGCTGGTCTTCCTTGTGTGCTGGGCAGTTAGACAGGAGCAGAGCAAGGACAATGCCCAGGTACAGAAGGTCACCAGGGTGGAAAGCCCTGGCTGCCTAGCAAAGGACCATTGTAGGGGGGACCTGCCCCCAGGGTGACCTTTCCTCCCCTCGCATATCACTAGTCAGGTGGTTCAGACCCCCTGGCCTTCCCTCCCTAGAGATAACATTTAGGCCTCAGTTGTATTTCAGCTCCAGGTCAAGAAAAGCAGCAAAACCAGACAAGTGACACCAAGGCCGACCGCAGGACCAGCTGCATTGGATAATGAAACACCCCCCCACACACACACCCTGACCAATCAATCATTGGAGACCTAGACCCTGAAAGGCCACACCTGGAAAACTGCTTAATATTCTATTGATGTCTTCTCCTGGGATCTCCCCTAAAATCTCCACCCTTAAAACCATTAGGATGGCGGACCCAGTGCCTCTCCCTCCTGGGAACCTGCCCCCACCTTCCCCCTCACCCACCTAGGTGCATAAGCAAAGCTCCAAGGGCCCTTCCTTTGCCTCTATAACTTATTTCCTAAGCCCATTTCTTCTAGGAATTGCTCCTTCTACCTCTAATTTTACAAATAAATGTTCTCTTTCTGTTTGGGTCTTGGGTCTGAATTCCTTCCTAGCCAGAACCCAAGTACCGAGGTTGCTGAACCCAGGTTTGGTCTGACACCACTGGTCAGACACCTGGTGTCTTTCCCGCCGCCTACAACTGTGATTAAAGAATACATTTCTAATGAATTACTTTTAATATCTAAAAAGTCTTTACCAAAATGTAATATATTTAGGCATGTGTGGTCTTTTTTATCAATCATGTATTAATAATAATTGTGTCTGGCCGGTGTGGCTCAGTGGTTTAGCTTTGACCTAGGATCCAGGAGGTCGCGGTTTGATTCCCGGTCAGAGCACATGCCTGGGTTTCGGGCCCCTGGGTCCCCAGCAGGGGGGAGCAGGAGGCCGCCGANCTCTATAACTTGTTTCCTAAGCCCATTTCTTCTGCAAGTTATTTCCTCTACCTTTGTGATTTTCTAAATAAATGTTCTCTTACAGTTTGGGTCTTGGCTCTGAATTATTTCCCTAGTCAGAACCCAAGTACAGAGGTTGCTGAACCCAGGTCGGGCCTGACCCCACCGGTCAGACCCCAGGTGCCGTTGCCACGGCCTACAACACTTTGGGGCCACCACAAATACAACGCGTGTTTGAATCTCATGTCTCAACTGCTAGACGCCCCTGATAGACCTTCACCAACAGGCAGAAACCACCCTGGTGCTTCCACTCAGTGCCCTTGAGCAAAACACAGAACCTCCCTGGAACTGTTTCTCAGTGTGTAAAACGAGACCATCTGACCCTAACAAGACCTAAAGACATGCAGGTCATAACGTGGATGGGCTTTTGGTGTGTGCCGTCCCAGAGCCGATGAAAATTGTAGGATGGATGGAGAACCACCCACACAAAAGAGAAAGGAACTATGTATTTACTTATTTTTGCAAACCCAGTCCTAGTCACAGCGTCATGAAAATTCTGGATAAAGATTTGCTGACACATTTGGTAGAACCAAAGGGAGGGGGTTGGTGCTCCCAGGGTTTCTAACTCGGGGGCCTCAGCGTTTCTCACCTGGTGTGGGGAGGGGATTAGGCAGGGTCTGGCTATAGCACCTAAAATACTGTCAGTCTGGGTCCTGACCTACTGTCCTGCCCGGAATGTTCCTGACGCCCTGACATGGGCCAGGTGGAGTTCAGCCAGTGGCCCCGAAGAGCACTGGCACCATCCAACCCTGCGTCCTGTCCCAGGCAGGCACTCGGCAAACGGGCCTCGGCTTCCTCAGCTCTAACTTGAGTTTGTTGCCTGACATTTGAGGCTTCTCCGAGCTCTCTTTGGACTTTGTATCTCCATTGGGAGTCAGGTTGCTTTTTAAAACCTTATTTACCTTCTCACACACCCTATACCCTTCCTTCCCAGTGCTTCATGGCAACCTGCCTTTGTTTAAGGGGTCGCTTCTCTCTTCCCAATGGCCCTGGGGTCAGAACCTGGGACGCCCTGCAAGGTCAAACTCAAAAACATCTCCATAACGCCTCCCCTGAGCGCCTCGTTTCACATCCCTTCTTTGGAAACTTACGGTTTAACGGTCCTCCACCCTCCACTCAGCCGTTCCGGTTCTGGGTTCCACAGGGCCCGTCTCTAGTGCAGGAGCATCGGCCCCTAGGGCAGAGGCCCAAA